ACACTGCAGTAAGTAACAGAACAAGTATAACCTTTTACTTTGTTGACCATGAAGACCAGGACTGTGAATTTGGACGGTCTAACCTTCAGCTTATAGGGTGGGCTGTGAAGGAAACATCGGACCCATCCCTTAAATCCGGGGAAAAGGAGGACGGATTTGGAGGATCCTTCAGATTTAGACAGTCTTTGATGCTTCGCTGTGATGTAATCAGCCAACAAATTCTGTTTTCTTTGAAGGATGCAGCCATGGTGTCCTTGAAGTTTGGTCTCACCTGGCTTCAGCAGCTTCGTTCAGGTTCTGATTCAGATTCTGGTTCAGATTCTGGGAGCAAACTAAAAAAGTTTGTTTTTTCTTCAATACCGTAAATATACTTTGCCTGCTTAAACACTTTGTCTGGATGAGCCTCTCCTGGCAGTTTTGATTCATTTCATCTCCTGATGATGGATTTATTGGAGCTCCATGTGATGTTCAGGATTTATTTATTGTGTGGAGAATTCCTTGGTCTTCATGATGTTTCTTGCTTGCTGGTAGCCCTCACTACTCACAGCTAGATTATTACTGAGGATAAATACTTTTTGCAGACACTGTAAATGATGTCAGGAGGGATGCTGCTGCTGCTGCTGCTGCTTGAATAAGTCAGATTATGCAATTTATAAAACAATTTCTGATGAAACTCGAATCACGGTTCTTTTTTTWAAACTTTTGTTGAATTGTTTAAAAAGTTTGACAGTTTTAGGACAGAAATAAAAACAGAAACAATCAGCCTTTGTTGAGCTGATATGAAGATCTGCAGCTTGAGAAAACTGTCAGCTTAAATGTTTCTGGTGATCGTTTGAGTTTTAATTTAAGTAACAGGAAGTTCTGTTGTTTGATAGAAGGAACATCACCCGTCATCCTGCATGTCAAAGATCTGATACAAACTGTTTGAACTCAGTGCTTGGGATAACTCTCAGCTACTACCACACCACATTCAGCTCAAAATCTGCAGAAATGACATTTATATCAGCTAAGGTCTCTTATCTGTGCTGGCCATAAAAACACACTGTGATTATTTTGAGTGTCGTTGTTGTTGAGATATTTTGCTGACAGACAAATGATCACACACAGACTCAGACGATTACATAACCACAGAAAAAGCACTGCTCTTAATTAACACTGTAAAACCTGTAATCACAGGCAAAAAGCAAGAAGTGTTGCTGAAACATGGCGGGTTTTAATGAGCTGCATGGATGTGAAGAAAAAAGTCTGAGAAAACAATCAGCAGAAAAGTTTAAAWTAACATTTTTTTAATCAAAAATAGCTTGCAAAAAGCTGCTTTGAGCTAGGGTTGGGCATAATCATATCATGTGCAATTAATCGTCAGAAAAACATTAATCGATTATTTTTTGACACTTGACGATTAATACGATTAATGCCACCAGGCAGACTGACTGGATATTTCCCCGGTCGGTCCGCTTGGTGCTCCTCTCCGCTTCAAATGTGACGAACATTTAAACAAAAGTTCTGTAATTTATTTATCTATCAACACAATTTAAAATTTGAAGTATAGCCTGAAGTCTGATTTTGACACAATTTGGAAAAGATTTTTACGAAGAGCAAATCTTTCCCACTAAATTGGTCATGTGACCAGGACATAAGGGCGTCCAGGGACTCCAGAGGATTAATCGTCAAATTAATCATTGTCGGCTAAATACCACAATTAATCGTGATTAATTCTTTTGCCAATATCGCCCAACCCTACTTTGAGCACATTTTTACAGTTCTTTTTTTTACCTAAACTAGCAAAAATGATAAAAAAGAAAATGTTTGTATAACTCACTTCTCTGTTTAAAACATCCCCATAAAGAAACTCAGTTTGTATTTGAGGCTGCAGCAAGTTTTAAAGCTTTTATTTGACCAGCTTTGGTTTGATGTGGTCATGGTTCGGACTAGAGCTTAAAAGAAAAAGAAGAAACCGATGTGAAACACCGAACATGAAGCTGCAGCAGCCCTGCTGCTCTCAGGAGAAACACGCCTGTCTGGGTTTCATGTTCAAGACTCCGCAGCACTTTCATGCTGCAGTTTCTCTACCTGTGATGTTGTAGAAGTAGTTGAAACAGTTGAGATTCAGACGGCAGGGCTCTCTGTCGGTCGTCTCTGGGCACTGCCTCCCCACCGTGGGGTACCGCAGGGTGTACGCTGCCCGCGCCCGACTGTTGTTTCTGGTGCAGGGCTAAAAAAAGACACAATGTAGTAAAAAAAAAAAAATCATTATTATGTAAAAACAATGTACAGATATTTCTCAGCTTGTTTAAGGTTTCTAAGTGATCTCATTTTAGGTGAACTTTGGCCTGAAAAAATTACAAATAAATAAATAAAATGCTTAATTGGATGTTTTCCCCTGAAAGAAAGGATGTGCAGAGCTGAAAAAAGAAATTCCAGCCAGATTGGTGGAAGCGTTGGTGCTCTCGGTTTGAAGCGAGAAGAACACCGGAAGAAACTGACAGCCTTCTGAATGGCTCCCTTGCCGGCGCCATGAATAAAACATGTGCAAAGTCTCGCTGGTGCCACTGCAGGCTTCATGTTGAGAGTGGAACAGTGGGAAGTTGGCGTGTCAAGCAGGACTAGAGAATGGGGTGTGATTAACAATGGCCCAGGTGCTGCAGGGAGAGATGCCGAGAACATGAAGTTCTTACTGGAAGCGGGGAGCAGAAACTACACGTTTCTGAAAACCCCAACACTGAAATAAGAATTTAAAAAAGAAAGAATGTAGAACGTATCGATCTGTTAATGCACAGATGTCTCCTGCAAACATCGCAGTTCACGTGAACTCTTCCCTCGACTTCATCTGACAACCTGTCCATCACAAACAGAAAGGGGCCCAGAGCTGCTCCCTGATGGACACCCATCCATCACTCCTGCACATCTCAAACAACGCTCAGTTTTCAAATTCCAAATCGGGAAAAATGAACCGAAATGCCCCCGAAGTTAAGTTTGACTCAGAAAGTTGGAGATTTCTGACCAACACAAACCTTAAAATTCAAAAGTGTAACAAATTTTATTTTCTCGTCTGTCGGGTTGAGCCTTGTTCATAAGTTGCCCACATTAGGCAACAAGTTGCTACAGTGTTTAAATGGAAGAAACATAAATCTGTTATTTGTTTGTGTAATAATAACAACAATAAACTTACTGGTTTTGTAAGTTGAATGCAGCAGTCCAGTTTATCAGAGAGTTTCTTAAAATATAATTTGAAAGTTTTTGTTCTTTTATCATCTGCAACAAAATGAACGTTTCTGAGACAAAAGCCTTTTAGCTTTCAGTATTTTATCTAATGGAGATAATTATTTTTCATTTTTGTGGCCGTCTGCCAAATGATGTTCCCAAACGGGGCAGATTATTTCTGGCCTACATGCAGGTGTGTGCTTCATTAAATGCGAGTTGGAAAGTTGTGTCTCTTCATCATAAATCATCCTCCCTCCCTGCTGAACGCACACTGAACACAGTGTAATATAGGTGATACAGAAGCCATTTTCTCCTGCTTCCCACTTCATGTATCTCCTTTAATCCTCCCCTGCAGACGAGAAATAACCTGTTGACAGAGATTCACGCGTCGCTCGCAGAAGCTTTGCGTTCTCCGAGCCTCGGGGGACGATGTTTGTGACGAGGAGAAGATATCAAGATAAATCTCGGTGGGCTTCGTTCTCTTTCTCAGATCCGATCTACGCCGGGCGCTTCCCGATCCGGCTCCAGGCTCTCACCATGCTGCAGCGGCTCCAGGGGCCCCAGTCGTTCAGGACGCAGTCCTCCGGGCAGGGCAGCCGGCTCTCCCTGGCCCCCAGGGGCATCTCCTCTGGGTCACACAGGTAATCCTCCACAGACTCAGAGGGGCCGTCCACAGTGTTCAGCATGCACCTGTGGGATCAGTCAGATTYATTTTATTTAAAACTTGTTTTAAACTGAGATCAAAGCACATGTTGGGAGCGACTTTGAGCTACTACCACACAAAGTATTACCTCGATATCTGTAAACCACCCCAGGTTAGAGACATTTTTGTGTTTGCTGTTGATTAGCTGCAGCCGCCATCTTGAATCAAGTCGACTCCAAAACTTAATCCAAGAAGGACTTTCTAAGGTTGGTTTAAATACACCAAGTGGTTCACGAGATATTTTACTAACAGACTAATAAAGACAGGGTTAATATAGTTAACTAAAACTAACTAAATAATAAAAACTGAAATTGAAAAACATTTTAGTTAACTAAAATAAATAAAAACTGTAATAAAATGAAAAAACGACAACTAATATATATGTATATTCTTTTTATAAAACTAACTGAAATTATAGATATAATATCCTTAGTTTTATTGTTTGTCAGTTTTTTTTCTTTCTTTTTTCCACATTAGCTGTGGGGAGCTTATGGCACCTCATGGTCTGTAACAACACTTGTTTACAATCTGCTGCTCAGCATCGTCTGCTAAATGACAASAACAAAAGTTGGGAGAAAGCAGCAACGTCCACTTTAGGATTTCTTTGAATACGACTGCGAGAACAATAAAAGCAAGTGTCTTGTAGTGGAAACGTGATAAAATAGGTGGAATACTTCTCAAGGGAAAAACTGCATGAATCAAGCTCGAACAAAATGGTTAACTATGACTATCTTGACACGCTAGCTTCTCTCAGTAGCTCCTGTGAAAAACAACCAACAGGTAGACAACTATTATCACTGTCCTAAAATAATCGCTCAAGTTCTTAGTTGGCAAAATTGAGTTACATAATTATTTTAGGAAGGTTTTGCTATAATGGACTGCTTTAACTAGTGACCAAATAGTTGTTGGTTAGTGAACTCACGGGAACATCACAAGCTGGAGGATGCATTGGCAAATACACTCCTGATCAAAATCTTAAGACCAGTCAAAAAAGTGCAAGAATTTGCATTTTGCACTATTGGATCTTAAGAAGGTTCTAAGTAGAGCTTCACAATGTTAAAGGAAGAAATCAGTGCAAGAGACAAGAACTTTTGAGCAGGGAATTTTCTGAAAACTGTATTTACACTCAAACATGATTCTTTTCAGCTGATCAAGTTTAAGACCATAGCTCAAAAAACCCTGAAAACCCCCAAAACAGAAATCAAAAAAGTACTCAGTAATGAGTAGCTCCACCATTCTTGTTGATGACTTCAAACAATGGTTTAGTCATGCTTGATGCCAGTGTTTCCAGGAGGCTAGTGGGAACGTTGCTCCAAGTGTTGAAGATGGCTTCACGAAGGGCATCCACTGTCTGGAACTGATGTCCATTTTTGTAAACTTCCCCTGCCATCCATCCCCAAATGTTCTCAGTTGGGTTTAGATCCGGGGAACATGCAGGATGGTCCAAAAGAGTGATTTTATTCTCTTGGAAAAACTC